TCACACACTCACTCACACACTCACTCACACACTCACTCACACACTCACTCACACACTCACTCACACACTCACACACTCACTCACACACTCACTCACACACTCACTCACACTCTCACTCACACACTCACTCACACACTCACTCACACACTCACTCACTCACTCACTCACTCACACACTCACTCACACACTCACTCACACACTCACTCACACACTCACTCACACACTCACTCACACACTCACTCACACACTCACTCACACACTCACTCACACTCTCACTCACACTCTCACTCACACTCACACTCACACTCACTCACACTCACTCACTCTCACTCACTCACTCACTCACTCAGTCAGGTGCGGCACTTGGTGCTCTGCAAGGGGTCGGATGTACGCCCTGGCGTCCCTTGGTCTCCACCGGTCGGCCGGTGGCTTTTGCGTGGCAGGTCGGATGTACGCCCTGGCGTCCCTTGGTCTCCGCCGGTCTGCCGGTGGCTTTTGCGTGGCTTGGTGCTCTGCAAGCGGTCAGATGTACGCCCTGGCGTCCCTTGGTGCGGCACTTAGTGCTCTGCAAGGGGTCGGATGTACGCCCTGGCGTCCCTTGGTCTCCGCCGCTCTGCCGGTGGCTTTTGAGTGGCAGGTGCGGCGCTTGATGCTCTGCAAGCGGTCAGATGTACGCCCTGGCGTCCCTTGGTCTCCGCCGGTCTGCCGGTGGCTTTTGCGTGGCAGGTGCGGCACTTGGTGCTCTGCAAGGGGTCGGTATGCCCTGGCGTCCCTTGGTCTCCGCCGCTCTGCCGGTGGCTTTTGCGTGGCAGGTGCGGCACTTGGTGCTCTGCAAGGGGTCGGATGTACGCCCGGGCGTCCGTTGGTCTCCGCCGGTCTGCCGGACGCCCTGGGCGTCCCTTGGTCTCCGCCGGTCTGCCGGTGGCTTTTGCGTGGCAGGTGCGGCACTTGGTGCTCTGCAAGGGGTCGGATGTACGCCCTGGCGTCCCTTGGTCTCCGCCGGTCTGCCGGTGGCTTTTGCGTGGCAGGTGCGGCACTTGGTGCTCTGCAAGGGGTCGGATGTACGCCCTGGCGTCCCTTGGTCTCCACACTTGACATGCACAACATGAACACAACATATATACATCATCACAACATCACATGCCAAAACATCACTTGACGCATCATAACTTCACGTCACATGCAACAAGATCAGTATATTTACGTTTGCATACATTTACATTACTACCACCCAACCTCGCATCACACGAAAATAATATCACCTCCCACACACTAGACAAGAATGGATCATTATATGATCCGGCAGGAACTGAATCCTGAAACATGCAGATTAGAGATGAAACAACGAAATTAACAATGTATCCTACGAAAAATAGACGTTCAGCTGAATGATCTTCATGTTCAGAATCGACATCAAAAAGAATAAATAAACCAGCAATAATATCATCGGCGATGTCTCGGCGAAGTCTAGCCAATAAATAACTGTCGGCGACGATGTAGTCGGCGATCATGTAAACAGATTGTTCCAAATATGTTTTCTACGTCCTTGCTCTGAGGAAGGTTCTGATGCAACTGAACCAATAGTAAATGACCAAAAGTAATTCCAGATTGCGACAACAGTGCAGCAAATTGTGTAACATTGTGGTTGGGGTTCTAAGCTTGGCCCCTTGCTATGTCCGAAAAAAGCAGGTACGTGACAAAGGCGTCCCTTCGTCATATCACCATGGAAAGGCAGTGTCTTCGTTGGTGGATGACTGCCAGACCATGCATCCACCCCCTGCAAACTAGTGAGAAACAAAACCGAAGTTTTACATCTTTACAGATGAGACACACACACACACACACACCCCGCCGGAGCGGGGTTTGATTTTTGGAAGAGCTTGGCGTGCGGGTGCGGCGATTCACGAGTTGATGTGAACCTGTAAAAAGCTAATGTACATACCAGCGATCACTTCATTCAGAAGGGAAATTCGAAGCTTGTTCAAGGATTTTGATCGCATCGTGGAAGCTCATGAGTTCAACCATCCTCCATGTCTCGTTGAGTTCCCCAGATGCCGTCGCAGCCGTCAAAGTATCTGATAATTGTTTGGCTAAATCCTGGATCTTGGTGGCGAGGCCAGGTTCATCTGGAGAAGAGGTCGTCTCAATGGGAACATTGTGAAAAGGATTGTGCCCATGTACTAGAGGAATCTCGAAATGATGACGCCAATAGTCTGCAGTCCGTAAAGACCATTCCCAATTGCCGGAGAGACCGTAGAAATAGTGTTCGGGATCACGACATTTGGAAATTCCCGAGGTCGGTATCTCTTCAATGAATAACTCCCTGGTGTTGTTTGAATGAGTAAAGATCTTGAAGTGAATCTGGTGAACCACTCGTGAGGAGAAACGCGCGTGATGAAGAGCATTGTAAGTTGAGGTATCCTGTGTCGGGAAAGGTACAGCAGGTTGAGGTGAGGCTGAGTATGTGTCCATTGGCGTCGTATTGCCTGGGTCATTGGATGTAGTCATTGCTTCTAAAGATGCCGAAGGAGTCGAGGTCGGATGGGCAGGAGCTTCAATAGTACTTGCATCAGGATGTGTGGATGGGGTTCCACGGTTCGAAGTCGAAGGCCATCCCAAGCCCGCTACCGTTGCGTCGCGCTTGTTCTCCATGGGTGAAACGGTCACTCGAAGGAAGTTGAGAAACCAAAAGCTGAGGAAACAAATAAGGGCCAGTCAGGATCAAGGGAGAAGCCATAAACAAACGAGGTACAAACGTTGGCGAGGTCATGGATTGAAAGATGAAGCGAATACACGACAAGACATGTTCTGCACTCAGAGGCTAATCAAGATGGTGATGAAATCTTATTGTCTTTTTCCGCAATCTGGTCAACGTGTAACGTTACGGTAGGATCACACCTTGACGAACTTTATGGCATCGAAGTCGCAATACGAAAGGTTGTGAGGTACCTGGGACCAGCCAAGTAGATTCGATGTAGTTGTACTGCCGGATGCGCCATTCAGGTCGGTATTCTTCCAAAAGTTGCACAATGGTCCAATCGATTGGTACTTGGAAAACATCTCCTTGAAGATCTGCGTAGCGGAATTCCAAATCGGAGGGTACCACATGAATGTCCCACTGGGTGCGTAATCTCGTGGTCAATGCGGTGCGTAAATCTCGAAATGGAAAGATGGCTCGACTGGTTGATAATGACGTGCCCAGGTAAAAAGAGCTTCAAGTTCTCCAGCACTGACGTTTCTGAAATTTGAGTTAGCAAGAACACTGTATAGGGCATGATCAAGTTCGCTGCGATGTGTCAGTTCCGGTAAAGGAGAGTAATCTACCAGGATCAAAACGGGTCGTGGAGGTGGGTCAATGTCTCCTGGAAGACCTCCTGGTCCAGCGATCCATGCGGCACGTCTAGGGCCTTCGGGTGTGTTAACCGTTGATGTAGCACGATATGGATGAGGGCGAGAAGAAGATGGGGCCATGGCGTCGTAATAAGGTAGTTGAGCCAAAGCTGCAAAGTCACCGATAAAGACGAAGAGGAATAACGTGAAAATAATTGAAAGGAGTATTGTACCACGTTGAACACACTTGTAATTCATACAGAATCGGTCTTCTTTCCTGTCGCAAATCGGAATGATGCGTTACACGCTCGAGTCTGACATATCCATAGGGCCCGGTTCGTCAGGTGGTACTTGTCGATGTGGGTGAGGTAAGGGTGTGGTAGAGACATGAGGGTGAAGAATTCTGCGAATCGGTTCCGAAGGTGAGGATGGTGGTGTAGATCTCCATGGTGGCCAGGATAAAGATGTGGTCGTACCTTGTGAATGATGTTGAGCAGAGCGTCCCCAGCAGGATTGGAGAATATGAAGTTGATCAGGTATGGCATCAAACGGTTGTGAGACATGTACATTGGTATGTTCAGGATGTGGAAGAACAGGAAAGGCAGTTGCCGTAGATGAAGAAGGCGAAGGAA